TACGTACAGTAACTAGTTACTGTAAAGTTTAGTACAGGGAGAAAAGTTTAGTGTAGGGAGAAAAAAAAATTCAAAATCATAAAAATCTGAAGCTTAAATAGTTTTTGTGTTATCGTTGTTGTGTACCAATGAGTCAGAAGTAACCCATGGGTGACCCTCTAGTGAGTTTTCAAAGGCAGCAAATTGCATGGGGTGAAGACTGCCCATTTTTCTCCCACAGAGAAGCTGGTAAATTCAAACTGCCTATCTTTCTTTCTGTTAGCTGTGCAATTTATCACTAACCCACTAGAGTTCCCCAAATAAGCATATAAATCCTTTAAAAATGTTTAAAAGAGTTGAATAGAAAAAAAAAAGAATTGAATAGGTATTATTCATTTTTCCCCTTCATATTTTCTACTAGTCAGTTTAACTCGTATTATACTCTACAATGCTTTTGTGTATTTAAGGAACATATTAATTAGATATGCAACTTATTTGGATCCATGTTAAAGTAAAATAACTTTTAAAATTGTAGGATAATAGAAATAATGTAAATTTCAAATAGTAAAATCCATAGCCATAGTGTCAATGTAGATTCACGGTGACCCTGCCTGAGAGAGCAGGATCTCTCTGGCATTAAGAATCCATCAGTAGCTCCACGTGAGAAAGACTGGCCGTCTCCTCATGTGCGATTTACAGCCTCTGAAACCCAAAGAAGACTCAGCTATGAGTCAGTTCAGATTTGGTGGTAATGAGTTTGAGTCTAATATAAATACCATATAATACTATTTATAGGAAGGAAGATGTGGTATCATGATTAGAAGAAGACACAATGACAACTAGCATGAAGCAGATAACACAACTTTGCAGAAACTGAAGAGGACTTGAGGAACTTGTTGCTGAAGATCAAGACTACAGACTTCAATACCGATTACATCTCTTTTTTTTTTTTTTTTTCATGGCTTGCACATACTTTTTATTTGTTGAATAAATGGGTATTTTTCACTATGTACATAAACACACAGAAGCGAGCATAGACATGAGTAGTATCTGGATTCGGAGGCTCCCGGCCACAGGCTGGCCGCGAGGCTTCAGGGAACTGAATCCAAGCTCTGCTTCCTCAACTGTAAAACCAGGGTCTTGAGACCTGCGTGGGCCCCACACAGGTTTATTGCAAGGTTCAAATTCAGAAACCTAAGAAAGTGCTGGGAGACCAACTCAGGGCAACACAAATATAAATAGAACGAGGAACAACGAGGTGAACTTCAAGTGGAGGAATACGTCATCACGCCCTCGAGTTACACCGGGGTCCGCATGGGGTAACCAAGAGGTGACAGGAGAGCAGAGGAGAGCAGGATCAAATACACCCCAGCCCTCGGGGCAGGAACCCCCACAACAGCCTGTGGCCAGTTCCCGAGATTTGAGAACTCTCTTCTGGAAGCATGAGCGCCACATGTCCCGTGTTTATTTACACAAATTACATCTCAACATCAAGAAAACGAAAATCCTCATTATTGGACCAATATGCAACATCATGATACATGGCGAAAAGATTGATGTTGTCAACGATTCATGTTACTTGGATTCAGAATCAACACCCATGGTAGTGAAAGTCAAGTAATCAAAAGACATGTTGAATTGGGAAAATCTGCTATCAAGGCCCTCTTCAATGCACTAAAGAACAATGATGCCAGTTCAAAAACTAGGTAAGGTGTGCCCAAGCCATGGTCTCTTCACTGACATCTTATTCATCTGAAAGCTGGACAATGAATAAGGATAACAGAAGAATAACTGACACCTTTGAATTCTGGTGTTGACAAAGAGTACCGGATATCCCAAAGAGTGCCAAAGGCATAAACAAGTCTGTCTCGGAGAATGTTTAAGTAGGTTGCTCCTTACAGGCAAAGATGGTAAAACTTCAACTTACGTATTTGTCATGCTGTCAGGAGAGACCCCTCGGAAAAAGACATCATGGTGGGAAAGGTGGAGGGTCAGAGAAAGAAAAGAAGACCCTTGGCAAGATGGATCTACACAGTGACTTTAACAATGGACTTGAACATATCTGAGGTCATGAGAATGGGACAGGATAGGGCAAAGTTCAGCTGTGTTGTTCACAAGGTCATCACGAGTGGTTGCCGACTTAATGACACCTAACACATAATACCTTACAGCTTTTTAATTAGTGTAGTAATGATACTGTGGTTGTTTTAAAAGGAAATCCTATCTTTTAGATAGGTGCTGAAACAATTCTAGATTGTTAAAAATGAGATCATAGGATATTTAAGCATCTGCCTTAAGATCATCAGATGGGGTGGGGCATGACTATAGTTTTAGAAGACAGGGTTGTAAGCTATTAATTGTTGGAGCCAAGTGATGGCTATACATGCATTTTCCTAACACTTGTATTTAATGTATGTTTGAAAATCTTAAGAAGTTTCTAAAAGTAGCATACAGGACCATAAAGCATCTAAAGTAGAAGAGTGGTGGTATTTTTTTTAAAAGTCCCTAACATCTTAAGATTTAACATTTCCCAGATGTCTGAAAGAGCGGTACTGGCATCAAGCTGTCTTTGAAAGTAGGATGCAGACCTCATGCCTGCTTGTCAGTGGCTACACTGCATCTGCCTCTCTCCTTCTATCAGAACAAGCCCATACCTCTAATGAGGGGGGATCGATATAAAAGATAAAGTCTGGATTGACAGCCATCAAATGTCAGGAGAGTGCCAGTGCAGCACAGCAATGCCAGAGCTATCATAGCCTTCTCACTGCTGTGGAACTAAGAACTGTAGCTTTTAAAAATCTTATCTTGACTACCTATCTCAGGCAGCAGTACTGGCTGGGTATGTAAAGACTGAGCAGGCCAAGGCTTCATGATGACCACATCACTGACCTCTGTCAGTTCCCAAAACCTCTGTTTTCAAAACTGGTCCAATTCACTGGCTCATGCAGATAACCTGTCACTTTTGATCCTTTCACATCATCTTTCTCTAAAACATCTGACTCGGCCAATTTAAAATACTCAGAAATTTCCCAAGCCAATTAAACTCTATGCCAAAGCTTGCCATTTAACAGAAATCAAGTTCTTGGAAAGTTTAATGACACTGGATTCCACTTCTGATAGATCCACTATGGCTAATATACACACATGCACCTGCTTGCAGCTGTAACCTCCAGGTCCAATAAATAGACTTTTTAAATTTCCGTGTGGCAGGTTCAACTGCTGAACAATTTAAGGGATCCAGTGAGTTCTTTTCCCAGCAAAGTCGTCTCAAAACCTTCTTTGGTTAAATCAACACTTCGAAGAGATAAAGCAACTGTCTGACTTGAGCAAGACAACTATTTACCAGCCTCAGAATCCTTCCTTTGTGAAATAAAGCTACTTTGAGAAAAACAAAAAGTCTCACCTAAGATACTAAACTCGTGAAGGGCAAATTTCTACAAGCATACTTTTCCAGCATCCTTCTTTATTTACACTAGATGCGCGTAAAGACATTCCTCTCCATCCCACTTCTGAGCTTATTTGCTACGCAGATGACCTGGAACCCGGAATTTTTTGTTTCGGTTTTGATTTTTCGAATGGAAAGGCAAAGAGGGCGGACGTGGAAAAAAAAATCAGTCTTAATCCACATTTAACTCAGAATCTCCCATTTCCTCCAATCTTTTCCCTGCATCAAAATGCAGATTATATAGGTGAAATTTCAAGAGTTTCTAAGCAGCTAACCACTCCAATTAAAAGCGATGGAGGCTGGGAACGGGGGAGGAGATAAGGGTGACACTGGAAGGCCAGGCCGGGCCCAAGAGCTCCGCCGGGAAGCAAGCGCACGAGGCGGCCGCGCCCGGGCAGCCTGCGGCGTCTGGGGTTCTTGCCCGGCCGCCGCCCTGGGTTTCTGCCAGGGACTGCGCCGTCAGGGCAGCCCACTCGCTGCTCCGGAGCGTCCAGAATTTAGGCTGAGCTCATCCACTTCCGGTGACAAATCCCTCCCACCACCTCTAGAAATAATGTAACATTTCCCCGGCTCGGCTTTTCCTAAAGACCGCCTGCCCGACGGAGAGCCGGCGAGCCCGGCTTGAGGGTCTCCCTTCTGCGCGGCTGGCGGCGCCCAGCTGCGAAGGGAGTGGCCGGGAGGGGGAGAGGGCGTGGGAGGAAGAGGAAAGGGGTGTGGAGTCGCACCCTTCCCCGGCACCCCCCCTCCGACTGCAGCAATTGGCCAAAAATACACTAATGGGTTTTTAGACTACCCCCCAGAACCCCCCGAACCAGGTTGCCGTGAGGCGCTCAAGTCTCTCCTGCTGCGGTGCCTGCCCCTCGTATTCTCCCGCCCTAGAATCAGTCTGCGGGAACCCAGGAGCCCCCGGGCCGCAGTAGACAAGAGTGTGGGGGGCACAAGGAGAAGGTTACAGGGCGGCAGGAATGGGTTGGGGGAAGGGGTGGTGGAAGGGAAAAGAAGAAACCAACAGCATGCAAGCAGCTATCTCCCTAGCCAGCTGTTCCAGCTGCCGTTTCCTCCGTCGCGAGCCGGGCGGTGCAATATTCCCCCCCCTCCATCTTTCTCACCACTACCTGGCCCACCACCCAGAAGACACACACATTTCCCCCCCCCCCCAGTAGCGGATCTCGGGCCTGTAAGGTGGTAGTAGGGAGGAGCTGGGGGGGAGGGGGAGGCCTGCGAGTTTCTAACCTTGTTCTTATAAACAAACCCACATGTGCAGCTGCCGCTGCTGCAACTCACCCCACAATCCCGGATATAAGTCCTGCCCCTTTAAGAGGAAAAAAAAAGCTTCCCCCGCCTGCCAACCACCCCACCCATCCACCAGGACCTTTGTCTCCCCACCCCCCCCTTGACAGGCGGCCCCACCCCCCCTGTCCCAGCCCCCTCCGACGCGAAGAAACCAATGGGCGAAGAAGATAAGGCCGGCATTTTACGTCAGCTTGGCCAGCCAATCACAGACCATATTGGTGGGAGGCCTCGCGGAGGGCGCGCCCGGGGAAGGAAGGCTGGAGAAACGAAGCTTGAAATAAAGATGGAGACTGGTAGTTGCTCTGCCGCTCGTGTGGGGAACGGGGATGTGGGGTCCCAACGGGACGTGAGCCTCGTGCCTGAGCGGCTTCATAGACGTGAACAAGAGCGGCAGCTGGAGGTGGGAAGGCGAAAGCAAATACGGCAGGACCAGGAGGTGGAGGAGGAGAAGAGCGAGTTTTTCGCCGTTGCCTTCGCCCGGGATCGGGCGGCCGTAGAAGAGCTTTTGGAGAGCGGGCAGTCACCCGAGCGGCTGGAGGAGGCAGCCACCCGACTCCAGGGGCTGCAGAAACTCCTCAACGACTCCGTTTTGTTCCTGAACTCCTACCACCTGCGGCAGGGACAAGAGGCGCTGGCGCGGCTGCAGGCGGCCCTAGCCGAGCGGCGCCAGGAGCTGCAGCCCAGGAAGCGCTTCGCTTTCAAGTCCCGGAGGAAAGATGCCTCGGCCGCCGCCAAAGTAGACGTTGCTGCTGCTGACGCCCCGGTGGCTGAAGGTATTCTGGCCTCTCCTCCGCCCGTGAAGGAGGAGGAGGGAGGTTTCGGCTTCTCCAACCTGGAGTCTCAGGTCTTGGAGAAGCGAGCTGAGGAGCTGCACCAGCGCGACGTCCTTTTGACAGAGCTGAGCGACTGCACGATCCGATTGTACGGGAATCCCAACACCCTGCGGCTGACTAAAGCCCGCCGCTGCACGGTGCTCTGCGGGCCGGTGTCCACCTCTGTCTTCCTGGATGACTGCAGTGACTGCGTGCTGGTCGTGGCCTGCCAACAGCTCCGCATCCACACTACGAAAAACACCCGCATTTTCCTGCAGGTGACCTGCAAGGCCATCTTGGAGGACTGCAGCGGGGTCCAATTCGCCCCTTACAACTGGACCTACCCGGGCATCGACAGGGACTTCGAAGGCTCTGGTTTAGATAGGAATAAAAATAACTGGAACGACGTTGACGATTTCAACTGGCTGGCCCGGGGTGTGGCCTCCCCGAACTGGAGTATTCTTCCTGAAGCCGAGCGAACGATCCAGTGGGACTAATGATTTGTCGCTCCGTTCTTTCGCCTGCCAAATGCCCTCCAGCTAATGGACCCCCAAGTTTATTTATCGTTGTGAGCTTTGTTTAGTGTCTTAAGGCTTAAAGTTGTCACAGGCTCCCGTTTGTGATTTCCATTAAATTTAAACTAGCTCTACTCCTTTAACGCAGTTTTATTTTGGGCAGGTCTGGTTATGTGCAGTAAATCGCACAGGAAGAGATTGGGAGCAACTGCTGGGAACTTTAATTTGACTAATAGTTTGAAGTGAAGAGGGGGAAAAGGAATTCGACATGTCTTGGTCTTTAATGAATGGTAGTAGTTAAATCCTGTTGTTAGGTAGTTTCTAGTCAGAACCAACTCGGCTGACCCAGCAGGTTTTTAAGGGGCAAGAAATCACAGGGGAGGAGATAGCTCGTCTTCTCTGGCAGAGCCTCCGGTGGCTTGGAAGCACTTGCTTTTGGATTGGGAACGCAGCTCGAACCAGTAGGCTGCCAGACTTCCCTATTTAAAGCCCAGGATAGTGCGTTATAATGCAGGCCTTCAGTGAATGCTAGTAAAAGAATTCAGAAGGGACTCATTGCCTGTCATTTCTGAGGAAAATGTGGAACTGCCCCAGAATGTCCAAAGCAGGTTACCAGGACTTTCTCCCACACAGTTGCTGGTAAATCACAGTCACCAACCTTCCCTTTAACAGTGCAAACTTCTAACACCGGGGCTCCTGGGTTTCTGGAATCCAAAGTTTTGGTTTCAACCTATAAAGGTTTATATTTTACCAACCCGAAGGCCTAAAGAAATAGCTATCAATTGTGCACTAAAGTGTTAAAAACACTACGTCGCTCGCATGACCATAAAGTCTCAAAAATCTCATGAGGTAGTTTCTGTTAGCATTTTCCAAGTGACAAATTGCTCAAGGCCACACAGTTCTGGTGGTGGGCCAGGTTGTCAGGCTCTACAACACAGTCCTAATCACAAAGTGCTGATTTTTAATAGTGTTGGTTGAGTTAGAATACTTCCAAGATTAAAAAAAAAAAAGAATACTTCCAAGATTAAGATTTTTTCCAACTCACAGAAATCCTATAGAACACAGAATAGTACTCTGTCAAGTTTATGAGGCTGTAAAATGAAGAGGAACAAGGACAGCCAGTCACACATTGGAGGATCGAAGGAGACTGGTAATTTGTAACACATGCACACACATAGAAGAAAGAACTTGTGTATGAAAAATCTTGATAATAAAAGAGAATATGTAATAAAATCCTCAGTTAACATCTTCAGGTTTGAACTGATAAGTTTGGGAAAGCTATGCCCCAAAGACTGCTTTCAAGGTCCCTGAGTGGCCCCAATCCTCTCAGCTGGGAATCAGAGTTGCTTCCAAGGGAGAAGCCATCCTATCCTTCTCTGTGAAGGGTATGGCCCAGGAAACCCTAGAAATTCTTAAAATGCATAAAACAAAAAAAAGCCCACTGCTGTGGAGTCTTGACTCCTGATTTTTGAAGCAGTAAATCCTCATTGTCCTGAGTAACGCTTGAGGTCACTAAATCACAACAAAGCAGTAAAAGATTGTTGGCATAATGCCAAGAAAAGCCATTCTGTAGCACTAATGAACTTTCCTATTTAAGGACTGATGGTTTTTACAGAGAAGTTCTAACCAGTAGTTTTTGTTAGTTTGTTTTACAAGTTGCATTAATCCCCCTAAAATAAAATTTAAAAACAAAAGATCTCACCCTTTTGCAAACCTGCAGCTAATCAGGGAAGTGAAATGAAATAGCAAACCTGGCTTTAAAAAAAAATGAATCTGGCTTTTTCAACCATACCTAATGCTAGTTAATCTCAGCTGAGCTTTCACTGCTGCTCAGCAAGCTTGCTGTGCCTTCCTGAAAGGTTCTCCACTTAGGCCGATGATACCAGACCTTTTTGTTTCCTAAAGCTCATAATCGCACCACCTTAAGTCTACCCAACTCACCCAGCAAATTATAAACTATCCAACTAGCACCCCCTAGTTGTTCTGTGAGGTCTGATAGACTGCAACTGGACAACCCTGTACTGTATGGAGGACATTGGTGGAGCTGCCCTGTCAGGTGTCCAAAGCAGCTTTACAGGAGCAGGTCGCCCCAGCTGTGTTGCTAGAGTTCATGTTTTCCTTCCTAGAGACGCTTTTCCCTCCTCACAGTTCCTTTTTCCACTTGCATCCATTCTCTCCTATTACAGATCTTGCTCTCTTTCCATTTCTTTCTCTTTTAAAGTAGCCAGATCTGAAAATGGTCGTCTCTGCACTCTGTTAAGTTTGCTCCAACTCCTAGTGACCCCTGCCCTATCCAGGGCCAACCTCAATGGTCCCTGTTGAACTTCAGCCACTGTTGAAGCCTCTCTGTCAATCCATCTTCTCTTTCACTGACTTTTCCAAGCATGATGTCCCTCTCCAAGGACTGATCCTTGCATCCTATATTCTTAATGGTGTTCTAGCTCTTTGTGTTGTCAACCATTTTAAAGAGTTTGTTGTTCTGTGCTGTCAAGTCGACCACTAGTCGTAGCAACCCTGTGAACAATGGCTCCGAACCTTGCACTGTCCTGTATTAGTCTCACTATCTCTGACATACCTGACACCATTGCTACAGAGACTGTGTCAGTCCATCTCATCCAGGGTCTTTCCTGCGATGTCCCTCCATCCTTCCAAGCATGATGTCCCTCTCCGAGGACTGGTCCCTCCTATCTACATGCCCAAAGTATGTGAAACAAAGGCTCAAAATCCTTGCCTCCAGGGAGCAGACTGGCTTCACCCTCTCTAGGACAGACCTGTTAGTGCTCATGGTAGTTTATAGTATGTATGTTAATACTCTTCTCCAGCACCACAACTCGAAGACATCAATTCTTCAGGTAATTATGAGACCATGGCCTAGATCAGGCATACCTTAGTTTCTAAACTGATGTCATTTTTTTTTTTTTTTTTGCACTCTGGAGAGGTCCCTGACAGCAGATTTTCCTAATGTAATTTGTCCTTTGATTGACTAATTCATGCCCAAGATCCTTATTTATACCATCTCAGGTGGACAGAAGTCAAGAAATGCCTTTGTATCTGACTTTTGTATGCAAACCAATATATTTTTTTAAAACAAAAGAACGTAAAATGGCTTCTTGCTCCAGCCACACCTACAGCAGCAACAGCCATGAGCTTCCACAGCCACAATGCCAAGTGGATTGTTTCTCCTGAGACTCTGAAGAACATATTTTCCTTCTCGTGTCATTCTTCTTGCAGGATCAGGTCCATGGTGGTGACACATACATTGTATGTGAGAGAACAGACAGACTCTGAGAATCCATCTACAAGCCAGGGAATCCCCATGATGACCAGAAACTGGCAGAGACAAGGAAGACCCTTTCCCTGGAGCCACAGAGAAAACAGCTGCAGAGACCCAGAACGTGAACACTGAGCCAATGAATTTCTGTCCTAAATACCATTCTGTGATATTTAGAATACTGCTTTAGGAAACCACACCGGGAAGATAAAGTGGAAAGTTAAAAAAAGAACGTAAAATGAAAAACAAAATACCAAACAAGTAGCTATGTCCCTTTGTAAAAAATAAGTAAATAAAATCATACATTTAACCTACAACCAGGAGAAGATAAAATAGTAAAATAGATGAATGGGACCTTCTAAGAATCAAATCCCTATGCACATCCAGAAACTTCTCCAAGAGGGTAAAAAGGGAAGCCACAGACTGGGAAAAAGTATTTGGTAATGACATATCAGAAAAGGGACTTACATACAGAATTTATAAAATACTTGAGCACCACAAGATAAAGGGAAATAAACTAATTGAAAAATGGGCATAATATGAAGACACTTCACCATAGAAGACATTCAGCTGGCTAACAAGCACACGAAGACATGTTCAAAATCCCTAGCTCTAAGAGAGATGCAAACCAAAACAACTATGCGATGTCATCTCACCCCAGTCAGAATAGCAAAATTTAACAGAACAGTAAGCAACAAATGCTGGCGAGGTTGTGGACAAACTGGAACCCTTATTCACTGTTGCTGGGAGTTTAAAATGGTGCAACCACTGTGGAAGGCAGCACGGCGCTTTCTCAAAAAGTTGCAAATAGAGATACCATTTGACCCAGCAATTCCACTACTGGGAATAAACCCCAAAGAGACCATAACTGCCACCCAAGCAGATATATGCACACCCATGTTTATTGTGGCGTTGTTCACAATAGCAAGGAGTTAAAAACAACCTAAGTGCCCATTAACAAACGAATGGATAGAGAAGCTGTGGTATATTCACACAATGGAATACTATGCTGCATTGAAAAACAAGGAACTCATGCAATATTATGAAAAATGGGTGACCCTGGAGGACATTATGCTGAGTGAAGTATCTCAGTCAAAAAAGGACAAATACTGCATGGTACCACTGTTGTAAAACAAGACTGACATTGGGGTTAGGGGTGACTGAGAAAGATGTATTTAATAATGTATACTGCATTGAAACAGATGAGGGAGAAAACTGTCTAAAAGGGATATGTGATTAGGTATTTTTGTCATGACAGGAGTCCAGAGCGAAGGCTGCATAGTGGAGCGGACCTGGGGGAGGGATTGTAAAACAATGAAAGAATTTTTCTTTTACTTTTCCACGAGGGTAGTGTACTAGGGGAGAGGGTTGGGAGGGGAGAAAAATGCAACAATTAATGAATGGAAGGAAAAATATAACAAAAAACCCCAAAAATATTGAAAGGTATTTATGAATACAGGGTTACACATAGCTGTTAAAAAAAATTATACCTTTGACCTCTTTGCTGAAATTTTTCTATAGATATTAGTGGCTCAGTCAGCCAATTCTTCTTTTCCTTTCGTCTTTTCATTCCAGGCATAGTTTACATCCTTTGTCTCTGTTGTTTTGACTTTTACATCCTCGCTCTCTTATGACAATGTCTTTTTCTTTGTTTGGATGCTGGAGATTTACAGACCCTGAAAGGAATCTTGGTAGCATAGTGGTTAAGCTC